GATAATTACTACTGAGGTGTGTTTCTTACCTGTCGATATAGAGATGATATATAAATATACCTTTTTGGTGATGGGTTCAATATGTAGTTTACAAAATCATATATCACGTCGAAGGAAAGTTGTAAATTATGTAAATTGTTTATGTACGTGTGTGTACGTGTGTGTGTGTGTGTAGGAACGTGTTAGTGGAGGCTATACCAGAGGGCCAGCACACCTGCCTTCCTCCGTCAGCCTCAGCACAAGCCCTCCTGAGATGGTATCAGGGGCGGCCCAGGTTCAAGCAAAAGGCGTCGAGTACCGGGAGCAGCCGATCACTAAGGCGTCGATCACCGGGATGCTCGATTTATGAAGATTTTATCACTCAGGTGTCGATCACTAATAGTTTTTACCATTAACGTGTCGATCACTGGAAAAATCGATCATTCAGGTGGTAATCGTTACATCAAACAACATCACTGTAGGCAAACGACGAACTAAGATTCGTCTGGCGTACCGGAGTTAATGTGTCATTACTAAATGGAGGAAAACACCTGGAGATTCTTAATTACCTTACCTGGCTTTACCTTACCTTCCATCATTAGGGAAATTTGGTGATAAAAACCACAATAATATACAGAGTAGTCATGTCATCTATATCAGGCACACGGGGCTATTGAGTGACTGTGGGGAAACTCTCGACCTGGTGTAAAATTTTGGTATCCATATTGCAGCTGGGTCGACTAGAGGCGCCTCACCTAACTTAACACTATACAACACTGGCCACCGTATAACACCCTATTATATTATATGGGTTCTGTACACACCCGCTAATAACACATTCACTTAATATGGCCTCGCCTCAGGACCACTACCTTCTGGTGCTCCTCCTCCTCCTGTGCAGCTCCTACGAGATAGAGATGTGATAACCTGAAGTCCTTATTCACACAGTCTTTAAGTTAATATTAAATCCGGGTTACAGTAAAGAGATATCTTGATTGTAATCCGAATTTAAAATATGTTATGGTATAAGTTGAAGCTCTGTTGTCTTCCTCACTCAAGTTTTTTAGTTAGTTCTGTGTTAGGTTTGGTTAGGTTAGATGAGCTTTTAAACCTATGATACTCAGGAGAATAAAAACAAGATTAACGTTCGAATCTTTCCGAATACCTGGAGCTTTGGACCGGAAATTGACGGAGGGCTTTGAGACAGGCGTTCTACTGATCCTTCTGTCTGATTACTGCCCGTCTGTCTACAGGTGAGAGGCGCTGTCTTGCCGGAGGTGAACGCAGAACTGGGCTCTGTGTGTGTGTGTGTATTTATAAACTTAAGATATCTCGTTAAAAATACTTATATATGAGACATGTACTTAAGTGTGTTTACATCGACTAAAGGGAGTGTACATAGTAACTTAGAATACAAGGTTAAAGACCCTTTAGTAGTTGAATCACACTCATACATTATTACATCAACATCATCAATTTTAAACGATACAACAGATAACAACAAACATATTACTACCACAACAACAGTAACGTAAAAGACTCGGATAACAAGAAAGAAAAAATCGTGTTAGTTTGAAGGGTAACTCCAGTCAGCCCAGTCAGAGGAAATCTATTTATAATGAAGATTAACACGACGTAACACACAGTCAGTAGATTAGAGCTAGACTGTCACAAGCTATTTGTCCGCCCTCCCTCTATGTCCTAATTTCCATCTGGCAGTAAGACCCCCATTTATCAACATCACTCAGACGTATCTCTCAGCAGGGCTTCCAATCACCCAATCAGCTCTAGTCTATCCACTCTTAAACTACTCTTCCTTAATCAATGTAGTTTACCCTATACATAACAAGGTGGTAGTTATTCTTCCCTTCTCTCCTTTATACATCACTAAGTCTCTATGCTTGTTATTGGAAGGCAAAACTGAATCACAAATCCGTTAATTATCTTTGAGACTTGTAAACAGGAGTCATTAAAGTGTTATACTATATACTATAGGGCTGAATATAGCTTAATACTGATATATGTTCTATCTTCTATGTTCAATACTGAGAATAACATAGAGATTACTTAATATAAAGTAGTAATTAAGTGATTAAACTTATTATGTATATTTAATAGTTTTATTATTGAGGGTTAAATCATCATCGTCAGAGGGTTAAACCAGAATCTTCAAAGGGTTAAGCAATTATCCTCAAAGGGTTTAACTATAGGCCTCAAAGGGTAAAACCATAGTCTTCAAAGGGTTAAAGCAAGACACAGTAACATAGAGATCGCTGTAATGCCACTTATTTATTCATTTAATATTTTATTCATGTATTTATTCACTCATTCACTACAGTTTCATTTATTTTTGCTCGTCATTATATTTTCTACATCAGTGAAATGTATAGAATTACTCTGTTTCTCTTCAGTAGTTCAATAATCTCCCTCTTCTTCGTCACCAAATAGTAATAATAATATTTCCTCGACCACAAACGTGGGTTCTGCCTGGTTATCAAGGGGGCTGGTCCACCACTCCTAGTAACAGCTTTTGTTAAGTACCTCGTAACTACTACACGCATATGCAAATGAGTATCAAATATCTTTATAAATGAATGATCTGCCCCGTACTTGGCTTTGTTTGTTTGTTCATTGGTGTTTCCAGAGTATGCTAACTATGAAGCTGTTTGGTGATGTGATCGGTGCAACTAATTCATTAAGGACACATTAAACAGTTCACTAATTATGAGGTATTCATGGCGGTGCAGCAGCCTGTATAATTAATTCAACCTTGGGGGGCCGAAACCTGCACCTGTCATTGTCGCGCTCATCATTGTACTTAAGCGAGTGGAAGTTATGGCCACAGCTTGGCCTGCCAGGCCCTGGCCGCTTGACAACCCACTACATACCGTGTATACTGTATGTATATATATATATATATATATATATATATATAATGGTGCAATTAACGTTAGTGTGTGGAGAGTCTATAAGGCAATATACATACTGTGGTGTGTTTGGACACTATTGTTCAGTAAGAGTTAACACGAGGCGGTACACAGCCACCGGTGTACTGTGTGGTGGTCACCTCTGAGCTGAATACAGTCGTCTGGCGTTAACCAAATAAAACATTAAAAGTGACGTTCTGTAGTGAAGAAGTTAATATACAAAGTTATTTATAATTAACTGTAGACACTTAATGGAGTACTTAACTAGGTCATGGTAGAGAAAACCTTCATTTATTATATAATACTAAAAGACACAGGTTGAGGTGACCTGTATCAGTAGTGAGGTGAGGCGAGTTGGTGGCGTGGGGCGAGGAGAGAAGGGGGAGGCGAGGAGACAAGGAGAGGAGAGAGAGGCGAGGAGAGGAGGGGGAGGCGAGGAGACAAGGGGGAGGTTTCACTGTACTCGCACAACTCTGATCTATTCATTATGGAAATATCAAACAGCCCCGCCCTCTTTGTCTCGTCTTGAGATTGGCTGTAGATTAACTAAAATTTGCTTCCAGAGTATACGGCCACATTATCCAATCACAAACCCATACGTCATATTGGTGGGCGGGGCCGAGTGTGACATATACATAAACAGACTATAGTTATTAATAATCATAACCTAACCTAACCTAACCTAACCTTATGAAATGTAAATTAATGATTCTATTTTGGTTCACTAATCCAGTCCGGTTCTTGTATTAGGTAAGGTTAGGTTAAATTGACGTTAACTTAGCTGACCGTGATGGAAGGGGCTATTCACATCATAGGCCAGGGCCATCCTTAAGACCTGTCTACCATCATAGATCATCCTTGTCCGTCTTACAATTACCAACATTATGCTGTGATCAGGTTGGGTAATGAGTGGTCAGAGGGAAGCAGAGACAATACACGAATGAGTCTTCTTACTCCTGGGGTGTAAATTCTCTATCATATCTTTAATTTTTCCAGTTTCCCTTCATCACCTTTCTCCTTATTTTTTCATCATTCCAAACCGGGTTTTTGAATTGATCTTTGTCATTATCATCACCACCACTGACCTCTTATCTTCACTATCACCGAGCTCTTACCTCACTATCACCACAGAACAAGTCTCTGTACTATGAATCAAACCGGATAAATATCCATCTATGATTAATGACTTTACCAATTAACTGTGGTAGACAAAAAGTGCTGCTGTGTGGTTAACCAACGTCATGGGCTAGGGAGCGTCATGTGGCGGCCAAGATCACCCCGACACTGCTGGAAGCCACTTGGCAAACAATTAGGGAGGTGGAAGGAGGGGTGGTTACGCCTGACCTTGGGTAATTGTAGCGCGGTGAAGGTGCTACTGTAGTTGTTGCTCTCAATATGGTGGGGGGAGTTGTGTTGGAGATGTAGTGAAGGTGTTATAGTGGTGCAGGCGATAGTGTTTGTGGTCCATTTGGAGTAGGTGCCATAATGGTCTTCGGTTTAACACACCAATCAATACATACCCAACGACTAGTTATTTTCATCAACTCATTGACTAAACCTAACCTATCTCTACCAGCAAGTAACGTTAGTGAATGTTGTGTTCAGAGGGAGAAAACATGGTGACGTGAGGAGAGTAGTAGGGGGTGGAAATAAGCCAGGAGGCAAAACAAACTAAAGGTCAGGGGGTCATAACTGGCCTCATCAATCATCATAGCCAAGGCGGTCAATATCAACCGTAAATTGTGGAGGATCTTCCCACCCCCCATAAGGCGACTCCCTCCTGCTGGTGAACAATGCTGGCCAAGACGGTGTGTGCCAATCAAGTCTTCATCGATATTCCTAGTACATTATCAATTCTCTCAGTTTGATAAATTAGAGGATAATTATTTAAGTGGAATAATCTGGTATTTATTCTAATAACTTAATTACCTCCGGATTAGTTGTTATAGTCCACTCTTATTTGGTTTGTTAGGTTATATACTTACTGGTTGTAGGTACATGTAAAGGCCAAATAGGCTCTCCAGGATTCCCGTCTATTCCGAGGTACTAAAGGAAACGGAACTGTACATAAAACAAATTTATTTACGATACACACAAACATATAATCAAGTCACCAGGTGAGTCTTAGTGATCAGCCGACACATGAACGTCCGGTACAACAAATCGGCTCTGCCAACTTGTTTATCAGTAGTGGTGTATGGAAGAGTGAGGTCACCTAGAGTACAGAGAACCAACCCAACCCACCACACACACTATACTCAAGGAATGGGATCAAGACGCAAGTCGCCCCCAAACTGGGATCCGGTAAACTCGTGTCTGGCTCCCTCCGCGAGCTCCCCCGACTGGACGAGTCAGGTCATGTGTCCTAGAGAAAGAACTGATGAACAATGATAACACCCAGCCTTTCGACACGAGAAGAATCCACCTGAAAATAACAAATCAACATATAAAATAACTCCAAAACTCCTGGGATATTAATATCACTTAAAATATAACATCAACAACAAACATAGACATTAACCCAAAACACAAGCATTATAACACCACAATATAATATAAACAAATTATAAATAAAAATGAAGGGTTTCTTACCAATGTGCTCTGGCTGAAGGAAGGAAGTCCTGTGACCACTCCACTCACCCTCCCAGCCCTCATCACCTCTGTCCCGGGTTGAGTAACTTTGGTCAGGCACAAGTAAACAACACCAAACCACACCTATCACCAGTTTTCCCCCCCAGTTTACTGCTTTGGAGGGACGACATTCCGACTCACTGACCCGTGATTGGCTGAACATTCCCGCCTTGCTCTGGGATTGGCAGACTGACTGGCTAGTGTGGGTTTTAGTCAATAGATGGAGATGTGTACCTGTGTCGTGGCGAGAATTTAACATTATTATTAATATTATTATTTCCATTACCATTCACTCATAGTATATATTCTCGATACATTTATTTACTAATCTTCATATTTATTTTGTTTATTTTTTTCCTCTGTATGAGTTTGATGGATCATTCATAAGACAATGAAGTGTTACTGCAGCTCGGTGGAAAGTCAATGAATAATAAATGATTCTACAAGGATGAATGATAGCTGTTTCTACCTGTCTCTATTGTGTGTGTGTGGATGATGAGAACCTTGCATGATGGTATCCCAGCTTTTCGTGCCTTAAGTCAGCCCCCTCCTCCATAAGGCAGCCAGGGGTCACCGTGTCTGCCTGGGGTTGCAGTTAAAACATTCATCAAGGTTCTCGTAATCTCAGGTATCCATCGTTTGTCTGAAGGGAATATTCATACCTGCCGTTTAAGCGATTGGGTAAAGAGAAATGACTTGAAGGTATTTTGAAGTCTCTCTCTCGTTCCACTGACATGATATGCCATTAAGAAATAAGATAATTTACATTTATGAATGATGTAAACACTATAGGCTAGACTTATGTGATGTAATGATACGAATCTTGATTAATAATTGTAGTTTTTTGGTCATTTTTACAACAAATTGGAAAGTTACATTGGATTTTTCTTATAAATAACTGCTATTTTGGGGTAACATGTACACGTATAGCCAACAGTAAACTCTGACATACACTGATCTGTTGTGATAACGGGAGGGAACAGGCAACACACTTACTGTTGTACCTCGAGAGAACATGTCTATCACGGCCCAGACAAACACACACACACACACACACACGTCTTATGTAAGTGTTCAGGATCTCTCACTTAGAGGAGGCTGATCGGTGCCCAAGCTTTGATCTGATAGCGAGACGTTGGCCCATAATTGCAAAGATCACCTGACTAGATATCCTCACAGCCCAGTTTTAAACACAGCCTAAATTATAGACTAAAGACAGATGTAAACAAACACAGCTGACACGAGTGGTACTTAGGGGTGGGTCTTACTTAGCCCCTCTTGTCAGGTCGATGTAGCTGTCTTAGCACTGACCATAACCTAACCTAAGCTTCGCACTCACTAGGTAATCAGGAAGGCCTCTGTTATGCATTACTATTACGAATTGAATTACTATTACTGTTTTATTTCGTGAGGAGGAGAGAGAACTGTGGATGAGTCTATTTTACAAGGTTGTTTAAAGAGTGGTTGAGGGTTTTCTCCCCTGAGGTAAGGAAGACGAAGCGAAAAGGAATCCAGAATTATTATGATGTTAGCTGAATGGAGTGTAGGAAGCCTGAGTCATGGTGAAATAATATACGAGAGAAATTATTGAATCTATAGCTCTCATCTCTAACTGACTTGACTGATTACTATTGTACAGTAGGGAGGTTAGGAGATTGATTTATATATGGGTGGTTGTATGGTGATTTACGGTGGTTGAAATGACTGAAATAACCAGTTAGGATTACATAGGGTACAGACCGCCCTGCCAGGTACAAGAAGTAGACACAGGTGATCTGATATGAGTCATCTTGCCTATAGAAGAGTCTCTATACGATCACTATAACGAGGTATTTACTAACCACGATCACTATAACGAGGTTGTTTGCGTTTTGTGTTTGTTTGGAGTGTTTGTTTTTATTGTTGAATTTGTTGTTTGTGTTTTTGTTTTGTTTTAGTAGCCTTAATTACCAGGGTTATTAAGCACCATTAATTTCGTCTTAATTTCCACATCTTTCGATCTTTTTAACGAATTAGGAAACATTTTTATACATTATTTTTTTTTTGCACCTAAAGATTCGTATATTTAGTAGAGTTAACTTATAAGGTAATGATCTAGTTATATGCGTTAATTACAGGTAAGAAATTAGGGTAAAACAGGTGGACGAAACACACACAAAAGATCCTAAACATTTACCTTCGAGTTAGTGTGAAACAAAATGAATGTGTTCCCTAATGAGTATTGCTCGTATATAGGGGACAAGCAGCACCCCCCAGCGTCTCAAATAACTAAAGGGCACTACAGATATCCACCGTAAACATGCCGTACTCAATTAATACCCCACTTTTGTATTTTCTTTACACCGACAGGGAGTCATTCACGGGATACCATTACCAGTCATATATTTCAGTATCATTTGCTCACAGACATACAAACATACATAAAGAACGTATACATAGGGCAAAGGCTATGTATACTTAAGGGTTATTATATACAGGTAATCGTATATTCATGAGAACATTAGTAAAATATCGCTTCTTTGATAACTAACTAGATCAAACGCTCTCGTATTTATACCCACAGAGGAGTTTTGTTGAGGAGAATGTAACCAGTATATAGTGTGTGTTAACCCTTATTGGTCATGGCTATAAACCTTTATAAATTGTAGTCTAATCCCTCTAGTTATCTCTAAGTTCAATTTAAGTTCCCCTAAAAAGTTCAACTGAGATTTAAGTAATGATCGTAGGTTAAGTTTGTATGAGAATGGAGTGTTTATTTGGTGTGTGTATATGTGCGTCTTAACTCCACTATTCAACTATACCATTCAGGATGTAGTAAGTATTAAGTTAGAATGTCTCTTACATACACTCAGACAGACACTCAGGAGATGTAATCTGACTCCATATATAGTTTAACTCAAGCAATTTTAATCCACCTAACTCTGTTCCTTTGTTGATTTTCTTTTATGCTTCACCGACGGAAAATTTAGCCCGGTGCTTCTGTAAACATTCCAACATAGCGTTATATTATTACATTATATTACGATATATTATTACATTATATTACGTTATATTATTACGTTATATTACGATATATTATTACATTATATTACGTTATATTATTACATTATATTACGATATATTATTACATTATATTACGTTATATTATTACATTATGTTACGTTATATTATTACGTTATATTAATTAAACACTACTTAACGTTGAGACACTGTAAGAATTTATTATTTTTGTGATTATTTTTAGTAGTTAAATCACGGACGGTAAATATATTACTGTTATTGATGTTTTGTTATTTAAATGTTACATGAGGAAGACTCGAAGGTAACACTTGAAGATAACACTCACTCGAAGGTAACACTTGAAGATAACACTCACTCGAAGGTAACACCCAAAGGTAACTCTCAAAGATAACACTCACTCGAAGGTAACACTCGACGGTAACACTTAAGATAACCCTGGAAGGTAACACTCAAATGTAACACTCACAAACACTCAACATAGACTCCACCTTCACCTAAAAGAAAGTCACCTGTGGAACACCTCCCATTAACATACATCACCTGGAGACATAAACACAACCATTCGCTGGCCCAACTTCCCGACAGGATGAAAGAAGCCGAGGTGTTCAATATCAGATGAGCGCACTAAAACAGCTTGTCGGTGAGGCCTGGCGGTAAAGACCTGGGATCTACCTGCTCATTATGCACTACAAAGAGAGAACTAATATCTTGTCTTATCAGTCTGTATCGCCATTGACTGATAAAGACTACCACTTAATATTTCTTATAGGCCCGTCAGGTGTAAACAAAATACTTTACGTTGTTTTGTGAGGTTCCGCCGCTACTGTCCCTTGGGGTAAGTGATTATATCGTCCAGTTACTGTCCAGGGAGTTATGGCAGGTGTGTGTGTGTACTACTGTCGGTGGGTGTTCATAGTTGGTTTGTTACTGTTCAGGAAGTTATGGTTCTGTTCTCTTATTAACTCGTGAATGGTTTATTAAAGGTTAATATAATTTTGTTAAGTTACTATTTCACGTTAGATGGTTGGATTAGTCTCTCTCTCTCTCTCTCTCTCTCTCTCTCTCAGTTATGGCCACCTCCTCTCACAATCATTGGCCACATTCTCTCACCCATAGCCACATCCTCTCACACTTATAGCCACATTATCCCACACACTCAGCCACATTACTGCCCGGAGCTGTCAGAGGTGGGCAGTACCACTCGTGTCTTGTAAGTCAATGCCTTTTAATTATGTTAGGCGCGAAGGTCGTAAACCACATCACCAGTAGACCACCTGGACGTGATGTTATTCCCAGGATGAACAGAATCATTCCTAAACCCGACTGACGGATGATTCATAGAACGAGTTAATCATACGCTTCTGAGTCAAGAAACCCAGCGTGTGTAAGAGTGTTTGAGGGTAGGTTAGGATAGGGTAGGGTAGGGTAGGATAGGGTAGGGTAGGTGATATTAAGTTAGGTTAGGTTATGTCAGGTCACTTTAGGGTAGGTAAGGTGAGATTAGGTTAGGTGTCGTTGTGTATACTAGAGGAAGAATATGAGAGGTCCTCCCCAGAACGCCTTTATCCCACCAGGTCTCGAGGCCATTAAGCTCTTACTCCAGTGGACAGACGCGAGATAAACAGAACTTCAACAACGAGATATTTTTACCCCCAGCACCGCCAACTCTCCCTCAGTGGAAGGTTAAACACTCTGACCTTACTGGAGTTTATGATGTGAGAGGGAGGGAGAGAGAGGGAGGGAGAGGGAAGGAGATAGAGAGGGAAGGAGGGTACATGGGGGGGGGTGGTACTTGAGGGTCTGGAGAGGTGGAGGAGGAGTGGGAAAGGAACTTTATTATGAGGGGGAGAGAGAGGAGGGAGAGAGGAGAGGAGGAGTGGGTGAGGAGGTTAAGAGTTGAGGACTTGTGAGTTGGTCGACTGTATTGTTTTGATACTCGTAAACATGTTCCTGTGTGTGTGGGTGGAGGGATGGGGTGGGGGGTAAGTAGTTGTGTATTCAGATGTACTGTTTACTCTCTCTCTCTCTCTCTCTCATTATTTACGTTTCAAAACACATAATCTCTCAGACTCATACTATTGGGGGTACACGTTCATGACTCATTCCCCATTATGTGTTTACAAATCGTTCTCACTGGCTATCAAATGAAAAAAAAAAAACAGGACTTGTTGACTTAGCTGATAGTCTCATTGCGTCATTTACCTTAGAGGAAAAAAATAAACACTTTTACGAATGAGATTACAGACTTGCCCAACACCAAATGATGGGGATATTTTAAGTCTTTTTAACTCTTATCTAATTTACCTGGGGGGAGAAATCTACAATGAGAGATAGAAAGTTGATGTGCAATTCACCTCGAGCGATTAATTTATTCCCATTGAGTGATAAGGTGTGGTCGTGTGGTAACAAGGTGGTGGGCCTCTTTAAGGGGGTGAATGGGAAGGCTGCGCCAGTCATCCTCACACTAACAACAATTTACTGTGAGACAACTACAACGCTTGTATCATAAAACTGTTTATTTATGATTTCACTTCTTTACTAAATAGAAGACGGGAAAGAAATTAAGATAAAATACAAAATAAATAACAAAATACAGACGCCATTGCTACCGAATTCGTAGAGTGTAACTTTAATTTGAAGTTATTTAATGTTAAATATAGGTGAGTGTAAACAGAGTGAGTTTTAGTGAACTTCTTATAAGACAAACTAAAAGATGTTTATAATTTAGATAATTTTGATAATATACATTGGTTCATTATCCCTGTAGTTAACTTGTCCTTACATACATTAACGAAAGATATATTATGACCTCTGAAACAAAATGTGTGTGTGGGTCTGTGTGTGTGTGTGTGTGTGTGTGTGTGTGTGTGTGTGTGTGTGTGTAAACAATCTCAAAAACGCGTTTACCGGAATCTAATGAAACTTGGCAGATGGATTGGTGTGAGGTTAGTAAGGTCAACCCAGTCACAGGTTCCTAGGGGGGTTACAGGTTCCTAGAGGGGAGTTACAGGTTCCTAGGGGGGTTACAGGTTCCCTAGGGGGTTACAGGTTCCTAGGGAGTTACAGGTTCCTGGGGGGTTACAGGTTCCTGGGGGAGGCAGGTTCCTAGGGGGTTAACAGGTTCCTAGGGGGTTACAGGTTCCTAGGGGGAGTTACAGGTTCCTAGAGGGGAGTTACAGGTTCCTAGGGGGGTAGTTACAGGTTCCTAGGGGGGAGTTACAGGTGCCTAGGGAGGGTTACGGTCTTCTTTATTATAATTATTATAACAGAAGTATAATATAAATGTTTAAATGCACAGCTAAAGCATATCAGTGTTACCTCTCGTACCTGCCTCGTCCTACACACACACACACACACACACACACACACACACACACACACACACACATAACTGATTCATTGTCTGTGATTTTCAAATTAGTCAAATCTTAACTAAACATCTGTACACCCATTGGCTCTCGAGTTACAGGTGAGAGTAATCTAGTAGCCAATGAACGCCCGAGGAGCTTTCGATAAGAGCATCACCCATTGGTTCAGCAGTTAAGAGGAGAGTAATCTAGTAGCCAATGAACGCACGAGGAGCTTTCGATAAGAGCATCATCCCATTGGTTCTTCAGTTACAGGGAGAATAATCTAATAGCCAATCAAAACACGCCGAGCTTTCGATAAGAGGTTGTAATTGGCAGTCTCATTTGCGGCTTGGGTTTATTTGCGTCATTTGAGACATCCTTGTCGATATCTGATGAGTCATGGAGCGTAACTCGCCTTAACGAAGCACAGAGTCTAAAGGAGCAGGTTTATTGTGGCCTCCAGTGGCTAATGTGAGGCGGAGTGGTAACGGAGTGGGGGCTACCAGAGAATGAGTGGGGACTACCAGAGGATGAGTGGGGGTTACCAGTGTCGACCAGAGGTTGAGTGGGACTACCAGACGATGAGTGGAGGCTCTTAGTATCGACCAGTGTTGACCAGAGAATGAGTGGGGCTACCAGTGTTGACCAGAGGATGAGTGGGGCTACCAGAGGATGAGTGGGGACTACCAGTGTCGACCAGAGTGGGGTTACCAAGGCCCCGAGTAGAAACTGACCTTCTTATGACCCTCGCGGAGACTTTATGATCGAACAGAAGAAATTTAATTGTCGAGATGTTGTCAAAGCATTACTGAGGACTTGAGATGGGACGAAAACGAACGAAAATGAACGAAAACGAACGAAAATGAACAAATAGTAACGAAAATGAACAAATAGTAACGAAAATGAACGAAAACGAACGGAATCGAACAAAAATTAACAAATAATAACGAAAATTAACGAATATCAACGAAAATGAACGAAAATGAACAAATATAACGAAAATGAACAAATATGAACGGAAATGAACGAAAGTGAACGATTATATCTTTGGGTAGTTTATTATATTACAAGTAGAATGAAAAAGTATTATTTTATCTTCGTAAATATTTTTTTAAAGTAGTTCCTGAAATGGCAAAACACAATGCACTTATTACCTCACTTATATCCATACTTACCTCACTTATATCCATACTTACCTCACTTATATCCATACTTACCTCACTTATATCCATACTTACACTCCACTTATATCCATACTTACCTCACTTATATCCATACTCATCTCCACTTACCTCACTTATATCCATACTTACCTCACTTATATCCATACTTACCTCACTTATATCCATACTTACCTCACTTATATCCATACTCATCTCATATCCATACTTACCTCATATATCCTGCTTACCTCCTTATATCCATACTTACTCACTTATATCCATGCTTACCTCACTTTATCCATGCCCTCGCATATCCATACTTACCTCACTTATCCATACGCCCACCTCACTTATGTCCATACTTACCTCCTTATATCATACTTACCTCCTTATATCCATACTTACCTCCTTATATCCATACTTTGCCTCCACTTATATCCATGCACCTCACTTATATCCAACCACTTACCTCACTTATATCCATACTTACCTCATATATCCATACTTGCCTCCTTATATCCACTTTACTTACTCACTTATATCCATACTTACCTCACTTATATCCATACTTACCTCACTTATATCCATACTTACCTCACTTATATCCATACTTACCTCACTTATATCCATACTCATCTCACTTCTGTTGATAAGATAAACTTTTACAAAATTCATAAAATATCAATAATATAAAATACAGATTGAAAAATATAATAGAATTTTATCTTTGTCTCTGTCATAAATATGGTAGAGGCGAGACAAAACATATATATTCAATTAGTCAGGAATGATTTAATGGAGACGAGAAATTACAGCTTATGTGGAGGTATTGTGTATTTACCAATATTGTACGGACATTATCACCGTCCCTCGAGGCTCTCTTAAATCACCACACCACAATTGACCTTACACACACACACACACACACACTCTCAGTCTTACACAGCTACACACACACACACACACACACACACACACACATTGTACACATATATAGTAATTTTAATCCATATTGTCTGCCATCTTTGTGTACGTTTTTGAGGTAAACAGTTATGTGTCTTAAAATCATTGAATATTAACGACGAAATTTACCTCTGGTTATTTTACAATTTATTTATTTATTTGTGAACG